TTTTGGAAAGTCATATTACCTGTGTTTTGGGAGAACAGGGGATGAGCACTGTAAACAAAGATATTGACAGTGGCTGAGGCCTGAAAAGTAATTGGGACAGAGTGGCATTGAGGACAAAGACACACTCTTCTCTCTCTCTCTCTCTCTCTCTCTCTCTCTCTCTCTCTCCTCTCTGTCTCTCTCCCCCCACCCTCCCTCCCTTTCCCTCTCTCTCCTTTGTCTCTTGTTTTTTTTCTTTCACTCATCATTCTTTGAAACTCTAAAAATAGACCCAAAGCATTTATTAAATTTAAAATGAAAGTCCTAAGTGCTTTTGTACTAGAACAAGATGAAGTGAGTTTTACAGCCCTTGGCATTTTCCATTAGATGAAATGAAACTACACAGTTTTGAGATTAAACCACAAAAGGGACTGGAGAACTCTATTTTAATTTTCTTCTAGACCTTGGCTATTTACAAAAACACCAGAATTAGCTATGGGCCACTGACACTCAGCTATGAGCACATGGAACCCTGGGATTGTCACCATGCAGGATTTGAAAGTGCCATTCCCAGCTTTTCTATAATTGATTGGCTTCTCTTTCTTTTCTGGTTTCACTTTAGATAATTTGCATCTTCACTAGGAAATTACCCACTGTCTTCAAAATTCCAGTTTGTCGGCATAGAATCCTCACAGCTTTCATCCTCTCTATGGCTCACCGATCACTTTCACTCCATCCCATCCCAAACAGATCTGAACACCTCTTTGTACACGAGAATCTTGTGTCTACCCACAGTTGTTCCTTTTCTGCCATAGTCACTTGCTTTGTTTTCCATCCTTTGCTATTTTTTAAAAAATCTGTTTATGAAAAGACAAACTGTTTTGTTTTCTCTTATTTAACATGGAAAACATTTATGGCACATGTTTTTATTTTCCGAGTACAGTTTTCACTGTGACCTTTGGATTTTGGTAAAAGGTATACATTCTTGTTTTTTGAAACAGGCTTTTTCTGTAGCTTTGGAGCCTGTTCTGGTACTCGCTCAATAGACCAGGCTGGCCTCAAACTCACAGAGATCTGCCTGCCCCTGCCTCCTGAGTGCTAGGATCAAAGGTATGCACCACCACCGCCCGGCTAAAAAGTATGAATATTCTGGTTGATTATAAGTACTTTATACTCCAATTCTTTTCTTCTTCATATGAGCTTGATCATTTAAAAATTGTAACTTTGTGTTTGTACACATTTCTGTGTGTGGGTAGGAGCCTGTCAGTGCCAGTTCCCCCAGAGGCCACTGGATCCTCTGGCTTTGGAGTTACAGGTGTTTGTGAGCTGTCCAACCAGCATTCTGGGAACCAAACTCTGGACCTCTGTGAGTATAGTATGTGCGCAATGGCTGAGCCCCAATTTTAATAATTTTTATATTATCTAATTTTAACTTTGAGTGAGATCAGAAACTATGTCTAATGACATATCCCAGCAATGCAGAGAAAGGCAAAGGGACTTGGGTGACAGACTTATCATAAACAAACAACAACAATAAAAAGAAACAGGACCAGTGAATGTAGTTGTGGGAATTTTTTAAAGACATTTTTGTTTTGTTTGTTTTGTTTTTCAGGCAGGTTTTCACTATGTAGCCCAGACTGGCTTTGAACTCATGATCTTTCCTCCCCTGTCTTCTGGGTGCTGGGGTATAGCCTGCTCACTTCCAGGATTTATGCATTATTAAATATATTTGACTTCAGTAAGTTTCCTATGGATACCAAAGTATCTTTTCATTGTTTTGTTCATTTGAGAGATGGTATATTTACACATAGGCACCCATAACGTCACAGTATTCAATTCTATTATCATGCCTGGCATATATTTAAAACAGGTGCTCAAGATTTGCCCGATTCTGAAATCAGCATATTGGAGTCTTTAGGTGTAACTATTTTATCTAATCCTTCTTGTGTGTTTTACAGCTTTGGCCTTATACATTTAGCCATTGTGTTGTTTATCATGTGTGCTTATGCATTCACAATCTATATTTTTATCTCTGTACCTATTTTCATTGCTCACTGCCATATCTTCCCTTTATCATCTTCCTAGCTATTAAGGTTTGTCTGTTGGTTGGTTAAGTCCCCTTTTAAACATTTTCTTCCATTAGTCTCCAACTTCCGGCTTATCTGTAGGTAGAGTGCTTTCTCCCTGGTAACTGAGTGGAGTTTTGACTGGTCAAGGATTTCTTTGGAGTCCTTTCCTATCAGAAGTCTAGATATTATTGCACTTATTTCCAGAGATCAGATTCTGTTTGTTTCTTAATAAGATTTAATTTTTATTTATTCAATTTATTAATAATTAGATATTTTATTTATTAATTTTAATTTTATTAATAAGATTTTTAAAAAGATTTATTATGTATAGTATTTTGCCTGCATGTATGCCTACAGGCCATAAGAGGGCACCAGATCTCATTATAGATGGTTTTAAGCTACCATGTGGTTGCTGGGAATTGAACTCAGGATCTCTAGAAGAGCAACCAGTGCTTTTAACCTCTGCGCCATCTCTCCAGCCCTATTAATAAGATTTTAATAAGATTTATTTTTTATGTGTGTGTGTGTATCTTCCTGCATGTATGTGTACCCCCTGCATGCAGTACCTGAGGTGGCCAGAAGAGGACATCTTATCTTCGAGAGCTGGAGGGTGGTTGTTAGCTGCTGCTTGTATGGTAGGAACCCAACTCTGGTTTTCTGCAAGTCATCAAGTGCTCTTACCTGGGGACCCAACTTTCTATTCCCCAGGTTCTTTCTGTATATCTGCTTGGAGCTCCCTACCCCACCCCCACACAAAGAGTTTCAGATTTTAGCAGGAACTTGCTAGGGTTTGTGTTCACAGTCTGGTATGTAATTACCTGAGCCGTTCAGCAGTGTCTGGGATTTCTTGGTCTAAGACATTTTCTCTATTGCAGATTTGTTTCTTTTCCTTAGCTGAACCTTTTTTGCCTGTCCAGATCCCCCCACAATCCACTACACTATTGAAGCTAGCCTCCAGTCTAATCTTTGTGCTTTTGAAATATTTTCCCACTTGATCTTTTGACCCATTAATTCGGATCTCAATAGTGACTACATCTCTCATTTAGGTATAAAATCAAGTGCAAAAATAAAGTCACTTCTACATTTATTTATTTGTGTGTGGGTACATGCACCACTGTGCACTTGCAGAGGTCAGAACTTGTGGGACCAGGATCAGACTCGGGTCAAACATTGTAGCAGATTGGATTTAAGGCCCGTTTCATAGGAGTGAAACCCATATCAATAATTCGCTCCTGGACTGGTCACAGGCCCAAGGTGTGTGGGGGCAGGGGAAGATGGGGACTAGGACTACCTTTTATACTACAGACAAAAACTTTCAGCCTTAATCAGAGAATCTTCCTTGCAGTGAACAGAGCTCAATGCAGACTAATGGCTGTCCAAAATGCTCACAAGTGATGACTGAGCATCTAACCCTAAACATTTATAATCTCCTAAGGCTCAGATTGCAGAGGAGGTGTCGGGAATAATGTAGGTGCTGGAAGATAGGAAGAAAAGCTATGAAATGCCATACTGTAGGCATGACACAACCACTACAATCATGAAATCAGAGTAGCTGCTACTACTGGCCCTGGGTCAAGGCTGCCCCATCAATGTGCATGGAGCCCTATTTCTTAATGCAGAACTAGTGGTTACTGATAAGATTTGAGTTGCTTTCAGTTGTGTACCTACTGCTGAGCCCACCATGCTCCAACAGATAGCTCTAAATTCACAGCATGTTCATGTCAGACAGCCTTAAACTCATGAAACTGTCAAGAACAAAAAAGGGTCTTGTGGTTTGAATAGTTATGGCCTCCATACTCATGTGTTTGAATGCTTGGCCAATAGGGAGTGGCACTATGAGGAGATGTGGCCTTGTTGGAGGAAGTGTGGCCTTGTTGGGGGAAGTGTGTCACAGTGGGAGTGGGCTTCAAGATCTCATACTCTCAAGCTATACCCAGTGTGGTACCATCTCCTTCTGTTACCTGTGGATCACAAGATGCAGAACTCCCAGCTCTTTCTCCAGTACCATGTTTGCCTGCATGCCACCATGTCCTGCCATAATAGACTAAACCTCCGAAGCTGTAAGCCAGCCCCCAATTAAATGTTTTCCTTTACAAGAACTGCAGTGGTTATGGTGTCTCTTCACAGCAATAGAAACCCTAAGACAGGTCTCTTGATTTTAAGCTTTCCACCCCCTCAAGTAAATACACTTGACTTCTAGCTCCAACATGCTAAGTTAATCAATTGCTCCTGAAGTTGAAGTGACTGTTGTGATGGATGGGACATACGTAACCTCATATGCCCTTGGATGTTCTGGCCATCAGATGCCTGCAGAGTTAGGTGGATGTTGTCTCCTCCATCATTAGCTCTAAGGAGTAGAAGAGTTTTATCCAGGAAAGGTAAAAGACCAGAATGACATGCTTTTTTCCTCATCCTTTCCATTCCTTAGGCCTGTTTCTGTAAAGAACCTTTTCTAGATAATAACCAGAGATGCACAGAGTTTCTCCCATTTCAGCAATTTTGAAGCATTAGCTGGTTTGCAAATGTTGTCCTTCCCAGTCACTATTTGCCCAGCTCAAAGCCAACCAAAACATTCTTCTACATTCTGGAATTCAGAACATCGGGTGCTCTAAAGAAGGGCAATATGAAGTGTGGGACCATTAAGTTAAGATTGTATCAGTGTAGGATTCTGAAATAAACACAAATCAGGACTGACCTTGGTTGCAAGGTGATTAGTTTGCAACACAGGGTGGGGTGGGAAGAAGGAACTCTCATAGAGAACACATTCTAACTTGGTTTTCTCTTGTATCTAGCATGTGCAATAAATGCTAACACACACTTAATTTTTAGAGTTGTATATTCAATAATTTCAATAAACAGATAATCAGTGATATACCAAATACAGGCATTATAAAGGTTTTTTTAAAAATGCTTGTTTAGAATAAAATGCTGCTACAAAAACCAGAATTGGAGTCTAATAAAAACAATTTAATAAAACAAGGCACAATGTTTAAGGCAAAATTCATGAAGAAGATATATAAAGTTAATATATTTTTTCATTTCCTTTGGGTGAGGAGGCACAAGAATTTAAATAGTTTAAACATTTTTTTTAGAATATTTAGCCATTATAAGGTTACATAAATTTGATACAATAGGACTCTGTCTTTTCCAGAAAACAAACTCCATTACTGTTCTATATTTCTGAGTTACATTTTAGTTGCATATATACCTATATAGATATTTCTAATACACAAGACTATAGATACTGGAAATTAAAGTCGTCGGAGCACACACAATAATTTGACAAAAGTAACACATTTTTAGCATCTTTTGTTGGCATATGAAGCCCCCAACTTTACGAAAAGCTAAAGCTGGTTATGTAGACAGTCTTTCCCATTATATTCTGCTTTTCACAACACTGAGTGGGCTCAGAATGCAACAAACCTCAACACAAGTCTGCACGTGGCTGTTAGAAAGTGACTACTGGGGTCAACACTTTCCCAGGAACACAGTGCTGACCATGTGAACTGACAACAAGGGCCCTCAACCATCCAACCTAGATATAGTTCCAATAACAGCAATGCCAACCTCATCCTAGTTTCTTTTCCCAAATGGAGTTTTGAATAACACAATTTTATTCAATTTTTTCATGGCCAAAAGAATAAAGTATGTTCTGGTGAATGTCGAGTTTTCTGCATGTGAATAACCTTCACTAAGCCACTTGATCTAATACACATACAACACACACACACACACACACACACACACACACACACAAGACTGAATAGTATGTCAATTATTGAGGCTGACTACTGCTGAGTAAAAGCCTAGCAGCACCCATCAAGATCACCTACTAAGTGTTTAGCTTTGTGAATTAGTGGAATGCTTCTTACTTCAATCCTTAGTAAATAGAGATCAAGAAAAATATAAAAACAATGGTGGCACTTATTAAACTATCCCCCTTTCAACCTATAGGAAAACTGGTGGTAAAACATGCTAGACCTCAGTGACAATATTTTCCTAAGATGCTGTAACTATGACAGCAGTGGAACTTCTGCTGTCCTTTGTGTAGCATGAACATTTAAATAAAATACTATATGAAAGATACACCTTTCTACTGAGAGCAGGGTGGTGGTGGTGGTGGTGGTGGTGGTGGTGGTAGTGCTTGACCTTTGGTTCTGGAGGCCTCTGATCTCCTGGCACAGTATGGTTAAGATTCCCTTCCCAGAAGCCCTACACACAGTGGGCCATGCTGCAGGCAAAGGAATCTCTCAGGATCAGTCTTTCTCCTTCAAGTCAATGTAGAAGATCACACAGCCATCATTGACAATTTACCATACAATATACTTTTCTTTCCTATTCTTTGGGTTAAAAGGAAGTCTTTAAAGGCACTTTCAGACCACAAAAGATAGTGTTACCTACTATATTATCAAAAAGATCACACTATGATGAAAATGGAAAAATTGTATGCTATTGAATTAATGTTACACAACATTAAATGCTTAATACAAAGATAGTGAGGGCTAACGAAACACTTCTTTTCTAAGCAAGGGAACAGAACTATGTGCTACAGGTCACATTGCCTAAAGTCTACACAGTATACTTCACCACAGGGGTTACATGCCTAGTCTAACTTAAAAAAAAAAAATCAGTATTTTGAACTAAATGGAGAGCAATACTTACAATAATAAAATCTCTACTTTTAGATGAAAGGCAAATCATTCGGTTAATAATTAGGCCCTTTAAAACTAAATGCAGCTAAATCATTTTACATATATACTTTTACGGGTAAAGTCTCATCTACAAGCATGAACATGAAAACAAACGTTTGCTTTTTATGCAAATAGCTACTACTAAATACTTGATTTGCAGTTTTTTAAAAAAAGGCAACAAAAAGGAAAACATTCACTAAGATTACCTGCTGTATTATAAGCCAGGCCAATAGGAACTACTTTCTAATAGAAACTCTGGGAAGAGCAAGATCGAAAGAAAGCCTACAGCTTGCTGGCTCTGCTTTATGCAGAGCAACAGAACAACCTCCAGCAGCAGGGATCGATTCAATAATAACATTAGCAGTAATAAACTTAGTGATAAGATTTTTAGATGGCAGTAGGAGGCCACTTGGTGGATTAATTTCAAAACTATTTCTTAATACTCTACAGGGCTTTACTGGCTCAAAGACTTCCCTGGGTACCTATGACTTCTCTTTCCCTATCCTTTGCTGCTTTTAAAGATTTGTTTTACTTAACACTCCAGCAAACAGCCCCTTCTTGAGTCTTCATTTAAACCCAGTATTTTCAGTGTCTGTTAGAACTGGTCTGTAGTACTGTGCTGCACTATTAAGGATTGCCCTTTATTTATATCACCCCCAAATTTCTAATATTTGAGGCCCATCTACAATGTATGTTTATTTTTAATATTGGCAACAAAAATTTAGACATCAAGATTTTTAGGCTAATCGGCACTTTTGGCACATTTCTAAGTAAAATACTGAGCTGGACCCATGGTTTATACTTGTGATTCCAGCAGCTGGGAAGCTGAGGCAAGAGCATTACAAGCAGGCTTGATTGGGCTACAAAGTTAGTTCAAGGCTAGCCTGGGCTACATAGCCAGGCCCTGTCTCAGAAAATAAAATAGCCATATTATGAAAAATTAGCCCTTGTTGATTTTAAAAGTTCACTAGCTGGATAAACATGGGATTCATACCTGTAGAGACAGACTACTGCTTAAAATACATCCTGCTGACTTCAGAAGATGATCATATTTCTAGATGGCCAATTCCTATCTCACTAAGTTAATGTCTATAATCAGCTTTTTTAAAAAAGAAAAAGTATGAAAAAAATAGCAATCATTGGTAGCTCTAGTAAAGAGTAAGGACAAAGATGGGTAATAAAGAAAAGAAAAGAAAAAAACAACAACCAAAAAAAGGTAAAACAGCTGCTATTGAAGACTTCACTAAAAGCTATCTATGCTAGGTGTGGACTGTAGCTTGCACAAGACCCTGGATCTAATCCCTATAATCCTCATCTCCACAAAGACAGCTGCACACTGATTTGGCACGCTGTTCACAGAGTTTAACTATACACATAAAAAAGCACAATAAACACTTTGCTGAAAGAACACCATAGGATACACCTATATGCCACAGGCTGGAATATTTACATTTATGAAAGATGAACCAGTATACCTCCTTTCTAGGAGGCTGGAAAGGGTATGTATGGTTAGATGCTCTATTTACAAGGCTATTTTACAAGTAATTCCTAAAAGGCTACTCAAGCTATTACTTAGGTCAAGATGACAATCAATCAAGAAAGTAGAAGTATTTAAACCAAAAGAATACAGTCCCATCAATCTGAATATTTTCCATGAAAACATTCTATATTAACTAAAGTCATCTAATTACAAAGCATTTACAGTTTGACACTTTGGTACTGCCCAAGTCATCTGTGCCTTTCCTAATCTTGCAGTAGGCAGCTTACAACTGCTCACTTGGTGAAATACAAAGACTTTATAACATCATACAATTACATTTGCAGTAGAAAATATCACTTCTATAAACAGAAAGAAAATCTCTAAATAAAAAAAAAAAACCTTAATCTTACTACACTATTTCGAGGGAAAGGTAAGGGGACTCACTATAGCAGCGTTTCACAACTGCAGCCACGAAACTCTCGTGTTTCATGACATAACACAAACACACATAAACCCTGAATTATCCCATAATCTACTAATATATTCTATTAAAATAAAATAATATATACAAGAAAACTAACATGCAAATAGTCTCAGCATAGGGTTGACCTCTAACAAAGCACTCTTTAAGAAAACACCTGACATCCTAATGAAATCTGAAACTACCTTTAGCATTTACCAATCGGCCTTTATGCTATTACAGGTTGGTTATTTAATCATCAATAAGTAGTGAGTTAGATATTTTCTGATGTCAACTTAGTTTTAATATTTGTTTTTATTGCATAATCAACTACTTAGTAAAATTTGTTAATTTCCAATGACAATAATCCATTACTATTTTTCTCCTCCACCTTAAGGACACAGGATTTTAATATTTTCATTCCTGTTTGATCGATACTGCTTTCTTAGTGTTCAATGGTTTAACTAACTTCAAGAACTATTCTATTGTGGATGAACATACTGAGCTCTATTCTGACTACCTTCAACTGTCATGTTATCTAGTTGTAGGGTTTTATTTCAAATGCAGAGAAAGTTTTGGTTTAGTATACAATACAAGCAAAGGAGGTGCATTTGATGGTCAAAATCCTCCCCACCTCCACTTTGAGACAGGTTTTCACGTATACAGCCCAGGCTGGCCTCAACTTCACTATGGGACCTAGGCTAACTGTGAACTCCCGATCTTCTGCCTCTACCTTCCAAGTGCTGGTTTGGAGGTGTGCACAACCATGTCCAACTTTCCCTCATTTAGTTCAATGTTATAAAGCAGCTTTTTTTTTTTTTTTTTTTTTTTTTTTTTTTTTTTTTTTTTAAGATTATTTGCCATCTAGATTTTTCTGTCAAGAACAATTATTCTGTCTTTTGGCAAATAGATGGATCACGACTACAGCCTCCCATAAATGTGAAAGCCATGCTTACAAGAGATCATTGCAGTTAACAAATTGAAATTAAGATGGCCATGGAAGTAGGTGGTGGTGCACACCTTTAATGATAGCACGAGGGGGTGGAAGCAGGTGGATCTCTGAGTTCCTGGCCAGCTCATTCTACATAAAGAGTTCCAGGCCTGCAGGCCTTGGGTATTATCTATACAGTTGTTTCCCTAGTCTGCTAAAGCACATTCCCAAGTGTTTTGCATAGTGTCAAGTTGTAGGTTGCTCTGAAATCATTTCTAGAATAAGCTTCCATACCCTTGCTAGGATTAAGGCACTGTAATACACCACAGCTAGATTGCATAAAGTCAGTAACAATCATACAAAACAAGAGCTGAAGTTTACACATTCCATTTAAAAATGATAGTCCTTACTGTACTGTTTGTTGGGCACAAAGGTTCTAACCTGGGGGTAACACAAGAAGGCTCATTCTATTTATGGCATAGTGTTCAGCACAAACCAGGACAACTCTGGTAGCACAACGGTCATGATATCTTACTTTAGTCAGCCCAACTGCCCCAGGTGACACCACTCCAGGCAGATTGTAACTGCTCCTCAGAGTGTACCATTTTGCTAGTGTTTCATCAAAGATTTAATTGAAAATTGTGACCAACCAGCTGAATTTTGAACTGCCATTCAGAATAAATTATACTCAAAAATCTAAACATGGAATTGGACTCAATCTAGCTGAATGGACAGATGGAATGCAAAACCTTTCACGTCACTGCAACTCTTACACGGACATTCAAGATGAAAACACGAAGGTTTCCAATCATCTTCAAGCTCCATTTTCTTTTTTAATCATCTTTGCTTAGTTTTTGTATTTTTCAACATCCACTGCTGCTCAACCAAGAAGGACCTTCTGCATTCGGTGTGCAGCAACACTGGCTTCATCTTCTGAGTCAGACTCACTCTGGGATGTGGAGCTGTGTGTGGCAGAGCTGCAGGGGGAAGAACATTCTGGAGAACACAAATAGTGCATCAGGGGGAGGCGATACTTCCCACAAAAGTCCACAAACTTAATTTGTCTGACACAGCAGTCAAAATAGACTCCTAGAGAGAAGAAGAATATAAGAAGTCAGTAAAGGCAAAGACCCAGAGTTTTTTCCTAAAGAAACATTACATCTCAAGCTTTCTTTGTGAATCTTAAACAGAAGCATTCTAGCAATCCCTTCTCACAGCACAGTGTAGAGAAATAATGGACGACCTCCCAGGTGGCAATCTGATTGCTAAGAGAAGGCAAGGAGGGCTGCTGAGATGGTGCAGCAGCCAGGTGCTTCTGCCAACCGTGTTTTGATTCCAAGAATCTACACAGGCAAGAGAAAGAACTCACTCCTGCAAGTCTTCCTTTGTATGCTGTGACACAATTCATTCATATTCTCAATCATTCATCCCCCCGGACCCAAACATAAACAAACAAGACTATATATCTGAAGGGAGCCAGCCAAGAAAGGACAGGACACAATTTAGCATACATATTTTCTCTGAGTTACTTGGGGACCAGTGTCTGACAGAGATTACAGGCTATGTGAAGTGTCCTTATTCTACAGACCCTTGTCAGTTGCTGGCACTTTCCTATAGTCTAAAGACTATAGGAAATTTTCAAAACTAGAGGAAGGCTAAACAAACACTTCTTTTAATAGCAATTGAGGAAGTAATTACCATACAAGAATTTGTAGAAAGGAGATAGCTGTTAACATCCATTCTTGTTTTTTGGTTTCTTATAGCCCAGGCTGCCCTTAAAACTTTAGCCTGGCCTTGAACTCTTGATCTTCCTGCCTCCACCTCTCCCAAAGGTTTAGGATTGACACATGTGCACCATCAGTGGGAGAGTAAACAAAATGCCATCTTACATTTATGCAGGCTCTACATCTCTGGGTTGCAAAACCAATGATCTCATTTAGTGAATACAAAAAAAAAAAAAAAAGAGTTAAAACTGGCATTTCCTGCAAATCAAAAGGACTCTAAGATACCATCTTATACCTATCACAGTGGCTAAGATCAAAAACAGTGATGACAGCTTATGCTGGAGAGGATGGAGTAAGGGAAACACTCCTCCATTGCTGGGTGAGAATACAAACTTGTACAGCCACTATGGAAACCTGAATGGCAGTTTCTCAGAAAATTGGAAATCAATTTACCTCAAGACCTAGCAAAACCACTCCTGGGCATATACCCAAAGGATGTACAACCATACCACAAGGACATTTGCTCAACTATGTTCATAGCAGCTATTTGTAATAGCCACAACCTGGAAACAACTTAGATGCCCATCAACTGAAGAATGGATAAAGAAAATGTGGTACATTTACACAATGGAGTATTACTCAGCAGTAAAAAACAATGACAGCTATAAATTTGCTGGCAAATGGATGGAACTAGGAAAAACCATCCTGAGTAACCCAGACGCAGAAAGACAAACACTATATGTACTAACTCATAAGTGGATATTAGATAATCAGCCTACAATCCACAACCCCAGAGAAGCCAGGGAAAAAGGGGAACCCCAAGAGGGACACACATGGAGAGCTCCAGGAATGAAAACTCACAGAGATATGCCCGCCTCTGCCTCCAGAGTGCTGGGTGGGATTAAAGGCATGAGCCACCACTGCCCGTCGAGAAATAAATTTTAAAAAATTAAAAAACCAACAAACAAAAAAAAATCCCCAAATTGGTATTTCCAGTTGGGTGGAAGGAAGGAGGATCTCTGTGAGTTCAAGGCCAGACTGGTCTACAGAGCAAGTTGTGGGCCAGGCTCCAAAAGCTACACAGAGAAACCCTGTCTCAAAAACAAAACAAAAAAACAAAAAACAAACAAACAAACAAAACAACTGGTATTTCCCTTACTTGGTTCTTACTTCAGTACTCCTGAACTATAGTCCTTCAAGGAAATAGAGCTACAGCCAGAGCTGAGAGGAAGGCAAAGCTTACTATGTCTCCAGACTCTGGCTGGTCCTTTAGAAACACCTTACATGTGTAAAGTCCATCCCCTTGGCTGCAAGATAACTGGACTATGGAGACTTGTGTCTTAAACTTCAAACCTAAGTTTCCCAACTACTCTCTATCACGTGATGAAACAAAGTGACCTGGTCTAATCAAAGGAGAACTCCCCACCGTTAACTTTATTTATTTATTTATTTATTTTATTTTTTTCTTTTTTTGAGACAGGGTTTCTCTATGGCTTTGGAGGCTGTCCTGGAACTAGCTCTTGTAGACCAAGGTGGCCTCGAACTCACAGAGATCCACCTGCCTCTGCCTCCTGAGTGCTGGGATTAAAGGCGTGCACCACCAACGCCTGGCTTATTTATTTAATTTTTAAAGGGAAGATCTTACTATGTAGCCCTGAATGGCTTGGTACTCTGTGTAGACCAGGACTGCCTCCAACTCAGGGAGTTCTATTTGCCTGTGCCTCTTGAGTATGGGAAGAAAGGCATGAGCTACCAGACATGGCTCCCCCATAACATTTTATGGTTTACTACTCTGAACAACTCAGAAAGTAGATACATTCACTAGGCTTATAATAAATCCTCGTAACTGCATTAGCTTCCCATAATACTAGTCATTTGTAAGCTTTCAAACCACACAAAGAAAAAATGTCTCATAAATGATATGATTTTTAACTTACAGTTCAATAAGGAACTTGGGGTGGTGGTGGTAGTAGGGAAGCATGTAAAATAATTGATTTTATTTTACTGATTTATCGATGTTATCTGAAATTCTGAACTTATAATTTTTAAGGCGTTCCTAACATAAACAGCTCTTTAAAATACTAGAGAAGTCAACAGAAAACCAATGAAGAGAGGAGAGTTCTTTTTTTCTTTAGAGGCCCATTTCCAAGAGGACAGATTCTGGCACACTGGGTTTCACAGGAAGCAATGGTGTGAATGGTGCCTCTTACAAGTCTTCACACCCTAGTTTCAATAGTCCCCTGCCATAGACATTTCTAGACAGAGGCCCACAGAGGAAGACAGCAACCCTTGCTCTGGAGAGGAGGTGACCAAACCAGCTCAGAGAACACTTTTCTTCTTAAACCCAGTTTTTAACTTGTAACAATCTGAAAAACTTAATTTTTGTTTTCTTTTTACCTGTAAAATAATCTCTCGACAAGATGACGCTTTTTGGGGAAAATCTTACCTGGCTTTGACATCATTACACAACATTTTCTTGGTATTTACACTTATCCTCACACCAGTGCCTTTCTATACTCATTAAAAACAGACTTATTTAAAAGTAGTATTTGTCTCTCAATGCTCTAAATGAGAATCTTGGGACCATGGAGTTGAAGAATATAAAGTTCTTTTGTACATCCAGAAATGGACACACACTCAGTCTGCTGGCACATATCTCTTAAGTGTACCCTGACTGTATCTGATACAATGAATAGTGAACCTTAAAATAAACACAGAAGAACCGTTTACACTTCTTTGTGTTTTCTTTCATCGTACTTTCCTCACAATGTTCCAAGACAGGATGAGATTTCCTGGGTATTTTCCTTGTGTTTGAAGTCAAAATTAGTATAAAAATAATTTTTAAGAAGGAAGGAGGCTCAGGGCGGAGTAATCACCTTTGTGTGAAAGAAACTTTACCTAATTAAAACAACACAACATTAAATTTTAAACATAGCTAAGGAGTGAAAAAGGCCAACATTCTATTCACTTACCACCACACTTTGGGTTTGGGCAATTGCTGGCTGAACCCAAGTATCTTAGGAGATTCCCAGGAAGATCATAGGGAGTGTAAGAAATACTTCGGATCTTAATGGTCCTTGCAGCTAATTCCAGAAGAGTTGGAGGGTCGTATGTTAAATCTCTAACAAAACGGACAACCAATGGATTTCCTCGCAAACTCAACTCTTCCAGATGAATAAGGTTGAGGATCTCTCGAGGCAGGTATGTCAGCAAATTATTGTGAAGACTGAGAGAACGAAGTGAATGCAACCTGGAATGAACACAACCCAGAAGCCAAAGGCAATGGATGAGTAAAACAGCTTAGAAAGTCATGGTTACATACATTTCTAAATGTACATAAATACATCTATGTGTGTATATACAGGGTTTGAGCCTCCCATATGAATGAACAATTAGGATTGAGATCAACAGAAGAAAAAATAAAGTGTCTAAAAACCAACTCAGAATAGTTTTATAAATGCTGTATCAAAGACTTTCCTTCTGGGATCTTAAGAGTACTTAAAACACAAAGTATTCTGATGTCCTAGCGGACATAAATGATAGATTTAAAGACATTGGAGGGCATACAAAAGATTTCAGGCATGCCATAAATAACGACCTTTTTCATTATAAAGCCACATATGGACAGGAGTTTGCTTAACATCAAATACAAATTGCTAAGTTCCTCAAGAAAGCTATGCCAAATTACTATTCTATAAGCCTCTGCCTTGCACCTGAGTTTAAATCCCCAGCATTAATGTGAAAATGTCAGTTAAAAAATATCAGGGGTCTCAGAGGCAGTTGGTTCCCTGGGCCTTCTGCCCAACAAGTCTGGCCTTAATTGGTGAACTCTGCAGGCTGATAAGACCCTATCTCAAAGGAAGTGAATGGCATCCAGGTCATCCTCTGGCCTCCACACGAGCATGCATACCTATACCTACCTGCATGCAGACACACACACACACACACACACACACACACACACACACACATTCACATACACACAGAGAGAGCTGAGCAATTACTTTGAGGAATGAACCAGAATACTTAAATAAAACTGAAAATTACTCAGCTCATAACAAGCTGCAGAGCGATTAAGCACGGCTTTTTTTTTAAAGTATACCTATTTTTTTGCCTTTTCTTTTTGAATCAGGTCTTACTATCTAGCCCAAGCCTCCAGAGTGCTGAGATTATTGGCATGCTCTTCATTCTTTTCAATCTATAAAGCAGGGATCTCTCCCAGACAGTGGCTCCTAACCACAGATGGCTGTGTCTACGAGCCGAGACTACTCACTGTGAAAGCTGAGGAGGCACACTTTGGATTTTGTTGTCACATAACACCAAGTAATTCAGAGAAGGTAGATTTGCTAATTCTGGTGGGATTTCCTTAATGAAGTTTCCTCCAAGGTATAAGCACTCTAAACTGCAAAAACAAATTTTATAAAAAGCAAATAAATACAAGTTGGTCAAGATACTTCATTGTCTCTACTACAATAGACACATTTCATCTACTCATTCATATCTTTTACTCAGGATCTGCTCTAAGCTGGCCAGTGGTTCTCCACCTTCCTAATGCCACAGCCCCTTTAATCCAGTTCCTCATGTTGTGGTGACCCCCAACCATAGATTATTTTCATCAATACAGCATAACTGTAAATTTGCTATTGTTACGAAGCATAATGTAAATATCTGATATACAATTGATCTTAGGCTACCCCTGTGAAAGGGTCATTTGACCCCAAAGAGATTGCAACTTACAGGTTGAGAAATACTGTGGTAGGCAGTCTCCAGAAAGTGAATGCAAAACAATGCATGATTAAGCTACCAAAACAAGAGGAACAGTTCAGGGATACTGAAAAAGAATAGGAAGGGTCACAGCCGCTCTCACTGGAAAAGCTTCCCCAGCTGGGCTACGAACTTAGTCCACTGACAGAGAAAAAGGATTTTGGGCTGGGTGATGGTGGCACTTGGCTTTAACTCCAGCACTCAGGAGGCAGAGATAGGCGGATCTCTATGAGTTCGAGGTCAGCCTGGTCTACAGAATGAGTTCCAGGACAGACAGGGCTATTACACAAAGCCAAAAAATAAACAAATAAATAAAAAAGGAGGGAAGAGAGATAGGAGATTTTGGGTAGAGGAGGAGGCTTTAAAGACTCAATGGGCACACCTGTTAATAAAAAGAGAATTTTTCCTGAAGAACCCAGACAAGGCTGGAGACGTTAAATTAGAAGCACTCTGCAATTCCATGCTGGCATGCTTGTGTTTGATTCATTCACTAACAGGTAATGGGAAAACCCATAGTCCTACCCTTCGTCCAAAAAGGGCTGAAAACTGTCTCCACCCTCTGATCCTCAGACAAGCTTTATTTGTTAGAGTACAAACAAGATATCACCACAGAAAACCATATACAAAGTTTCTTTGCTCTTAATAAAGCAAGTACATTCTTCAGAATTAAAGTTTTATTTAATCCTGTGTTTTTTTTTTTAACAAAATAACATTTTCAATATAGGATGTATAGTAACAAGATATAATGCCATTCTCTAATGATTGTAGAAAAGCTCCTTCCAAAGGATATTTGCAGGGAGATGACAGTTAGCTCTTACAATTACTCATAAAAATAAACGGCGTATACATACAACGTTATTTGCAACTTTCCCACTGTTACTTTTAGTTTGTTATTCCACTCAGAACTATCATTCTTTCAAAAACTTTCAAATAAAACATAAGTAAAATAACAAACACCAGCTTGAAAGTGAGGAAAAAACAGGCTACTATGCTGTTACCTAAAATAGGAATTATCTGGTGGGCATTTTATTTTTTTGCACTTATATGTGTGCAAATGTGCATGCGTGCAGAAGCCAAAGTGGACTTGAGTGTCTTCCTCAGTGACTCTCATATATGAGGCAGTCTCTCCTTTGAGGCCGGAGCTAGCAGATTCGCCTGCTCACCAGCCTCCTTTGGTGATCCTATCTCCATCTCAAGCCATATCCCCTTGACAACACTTTTATTTTTTGAAAATAATTTGATGTGAAAAAGGTACTATTCTGCACTTTTCACCTACAGATCAGAAATTTTCTAATTAGTGAAATTTAGTATTGTCGCTATTTCTGGTCACTTGCATATCCTCAGAGCATTTCCTGTTCATACCATTTGCCCATTTCCCATGGGTTAGACAATTTCTATTACTTTGTTAGAGCTCTGCTGTTAAATATGTGTTCTGCATAACAGTTCCTTTGTGACCTACTTTTGCTTGTTTTAGATGTATTACAATAATTCATGTTGCCTTTGTAAAAGGAGCAACTCAGAAGCTATAGTTTGTCATCTGCTCTCTTACTGGATGCTCATCTCCTACATAACCAGTGTTCCCTTTAGAGGCCTGTTACTTTTTGCCCCCGATATACAAAAGCTACACTGCAGATACAACTAGTTTCTGAATCCTAAAATTTCCTGTTGGAATGTTACTTAATTCTTATGAAGTGTTTCTCTTTGTTCCTGCTCTGAAATCTACTTCCCCTGATTATCAATACTGCTTCCAGCATTTGCTAACAGCAAATAATTGCTGTTAGCATTTATTTCATTCAATTCCACCTCTTACTGTCATAAAAATTAGGGTCAGTTACTTGCTGCTTATTAAAGATAGCATAAAATATTTAGTCAACAAATATGAACACCTACCATGTTCCAGGCACCAATTCAGGGACTATAGTGTCAATCATTCAAGGAGTTGATGAGGCATGTCTCTTAGAGCAGATAGTAAGTACTTTAAGAAAAAATGGAGTCAATCAGAAAGTAATGGGAGATGACTCTACATGGGTGGCCAAGAAAGCTTTCTTTCTCTTTTTTGGGGGTGGTGGTGTTGAAGACAGTGTCTCTGTAGCTTTGGGGCCTGTTCTGGAACTCACTCTGTAGACCAGGCTGGCCTTGAACTCAGAGATTTGCCTCCCGAGTGCTAGGGTTAAAGGTGTGCATCACCACTGCCCAGAGGAAGGCTTTCTCTTAAGAGATTTTTGAAATGTGAGCAGAACTGAGTGAGCTGACTGTGAGCCTCCGAGGGAAAAGGTCAGTGCAATGCAAAGCTGCAGCACAGCTGGTGTGGGAAGACCAGACTGAGGTGGAAATGAGGCAGTCAGAGCTCAATAGTCAATAAATAGCCTGGGATGGTCGAATCACAAAGCCTAAAAGGATTTTGAATTTTATCCTAGGTATGATGGGTGAGTTTAATATTTAATCTTGTGTATATTTATGTGCATGCATGTGTGTGGTGCTCAGAGAAGCCAGAAGTCATTGGACCACTTAGAGCTGGAGTTACAGGCGTTTCTGAACCACCTGACCTGGGCGATGGGAACCTAACTCCAACACTTTCCAAGATGACTCTCAACTGGTAGATGGGTTTTAAATGAAAGCTGGTTGCATCATTTTACTCACAGTTTAGTAAGAGAATCACAATTAGCCGGATGAATGTGTATGACTGGAACTCCACTAGGTGTTCAGTGTAATTCAGATGAGAAGCAATACAGTAACCAGGAATATCTTTTCATTTTTAACTTACTAGTGTTTTTAAGTACCTCTCATGCACAAACAGGGAACAACTTGATTATTGCTGTTATGTTAGGGTGTAGGTCCTACAATGGTCTATTTCATCTCAGTATACTATCTCCCTTTGGTTCTGCCTTTTCTTTTTTCTTTTCTTTTTTTGTAGTTTTTTTTATTATTATTATTAGTTCAAATTAGAAACAAGCTTGCTTCACATGTCAATCCCTTCTCCCTCTCCCTCCCTTCACCCCACCCTCCTCCCCGGTTCTGCCTTTTCTTACTGGCATAGTTTCTTTTCTTTCATTCATTACTTCCATTTTCTGGCAGATGTCCTTCAATTTCCTTCCACATCTGGCCTCCTCATTATCTCATCAGTCACTATTACTATTGTTCCTTTGTTGCTGACTTGTTTATTTTCTCTTTAGCAGCTGTGATGGTCATCTGTAGCAGCTGTTGTGAGTGCTTGGTTCCCAGCTGGTGGAAGTGGGTCACTAGTGGCAGACCTCTGGAAGTTATGCTCCTTCCCTGGTTCTGGCCATCTCCCATGTTAATAGCCAACCTCTGCCACACATTCCACCACGAACTGAGCTGCTTCCCATGCCTTCCAACCAAAAGGCTGACACTTCTGAAACTGTGAGTCAGTTGTTTCCTCAAGTTGCTTCTGTCAGGGATTTTTGTTCCAATAAGGCAAAAACAGTCATCAAGGAAGCTGCTAAGTAATTCACAGGCAGGTAGGCATACAGAGTAGGTAAGGTAGATGAGGTGGACCAGGGAACAGAGAGCAAGGTGGGATCCAAGGACTGGGTATTCCCTGTGGAATGAAGGCCCATTCAGGTTTTGGATGGGGCAATTTGATTTCCTCATGAAACTCAGAATGGGCTGCAACTTAAGAATTATGAAATGTTTATTTCTAGAATTCTGCATGTAATATTTCTGGGCCACAGTTGATTGTGAGTAACTGAAAGCCAGTAAAGAAAATCATGAATAGATATATTTTTTTCTAAGAATTTTACTTGTGTTTTTCATACATGCCCATTCTAAAACTTCTCTTACTGTTTCATGGAAAAGTTTCTTCCTTTCCTTCTCCAAGTTAGGAAACACACTTAGGGCCTTTACAGGAGTAAACCAATCACTTTCTGATTGGATTTAAGGCCTCTTCTATAAAATGGAACCCATATCTGGCATTGTTATTGGTATAAAAAGACTGAGATTAGGTAGGTCATAGGCCCTAGGGGGGAATCCACTATTATTCCATTAAATGGACACAGCATTAAAACACTCCTAATGATTTACTACTGTACACAGACAAGTACATCTCTCAATCATCAGAGAAGCTTCTTCTTGAAGTAGATGGCAACTACTTCAAGTACAGAGACCTACACCTGGTCAGCATGTGGAGAATAAGACTGAGGAGTAAGTGCTCAGCCCTAAGGGACATCCGTTTCACATTCTAGAGTCCCAAGGCTCAGGGATCCTTAAGTAAAGAGGGGTGGAAAAGCCAGAGGTGGGGGATAACTTCAAGAAAGCAGTATTTCCTAGACACAAGAGGGCTGTTGCACATACTAACTCACAGAAACTGTGAGAGCTTGCAAAGGGTCTGTGCAAGCTCAGCCCACACAAAATCCAAGCATGGAGTGGAGGATGTTGACACAAAGTCCCACCAGTAGCTGAGGAATTATTTAGGCATTTAATCGATGCTGGGGGTGGGGGCAAGTCAGTTTTCTTTAATGGTGTAATAATTCCATTAGGCCAACTACACTCCAGGACAGGCCCCACAACCAAGAGTAGCAGGGTAACATCAACAGTGAACTTGGTGGGTTTAAGAGAAAAACAACAAAGGACAAAACAAAAAAGAGAGAGAATTTGAAGTTGGGTAGGTAGGGAGGTAGCATCAAATCTAGGAATCATCAAATATACAGTATGAATTAAAGAAAGTCAACACAAAGAAATTCAATGTAAGGTTTTAAATGGGGAAAGGGTTTATTTAAATTTTAGCACATTCTTCTACTTGTTGAGTTACTTCATTCCTAAGATAGTTACTGTAGACTAGCTTTTTTAATTTTTTAGCTTTTGTTTTGCCACAATCCTCATATATTTATCTTTTAAAACTACAATGAACAAACACTAAGGGAAGGTCACTTAAAAATAGGACAAGGACCCAGGAAACTCACTTGGCTCAGACTCAGGCTCCCCAATTAGTTTCTGAACTGAGAGGAATAAACCTAAGTTCATTAGAAGAAATGTCAAAATGTCAATCACTCCTACCTTTTAGCACTGTAAACAACAAGCAGAGTTAAGACACATCTAAGGCACAGGAAATCCTGGAGAAGCCAATGGCACATTAAGCCAAGACTTGTTATTCCTTCCCAGAATGGTGACAGACGGAGAAAGGGAAATTTTTGTGGACCATATATGCTTTGTGTAATTTTAAAAAACTGTTCTTTAAAAGGACAGAATCTTCTTCATGTGTCAAAATATTAGACTTGGCTCAAGAAGTGGCTCTTGCCTAGCATGTGGGAGGTCATGAGGTCCACCCTCAGTCCCGGGAAAGGAGGAGAGAAGCAGCATGGCAGCATACCACAGCACACAGTACACACGCCAGGTTTACAATGAGGAGAATTTACACAAATTTTGGAAGAACATGATGTTCAAGAGCTACAGTAGGGTTCAAGTGACTGTAACACCGCCCCTTTCCATTTTCCAGCATTTCAGTACAGTTAGCAGGCTTTGAGAACTGAACCACCGAGCTCTCACTGGGGCCATGATTTGGCTCCAAGCAATTCATTCACATGAAATCTCAGCTTCCTCATCCGTGAAAAGAAGGAAACAAACTAACTAGGTCACGGTTGAAGCTGCTGCTTCTTTCTCTAGGAGTACAATTCTGCATGACCCCATTGGTCTACATCCAACTAAAACTCATTTTCTAAACCTTCGATGATTCCTATCAGCCTAGGACTGAACAACAAAAATCACCATGCAAAAAGTCCCACATTTCATTCATCAAGTCTAAGACATAATGACTAGCAACCTTCAGTAGCAGTTGTTAGGCCAGAGATCAGGGCAACCAGGTATAAATGGCTTGAAGTGGTTCTCTGGACCACATGTGACAACATAATAGAAGCCTAGGTACTGGTCCTAGGTACTGGCCACTGTGGAAAACCCATGGATTTGGTATCAGAGACCCTAGAAGGTCAAACCCAGTTCTACTACAAACAAGATAAATGTGCACTCAAAATGCAACTCACACTCTATGGAAGCCCTCAAGCCATGAGGCAGTCTGAGTGACCCCAGTTCTTATCTGTTACTTTCTAGCACAATGCTCATCTTTCAGCAGTTTGGCCATTATTATTCTCCTTGCTTCCCGGCTTTCACACACACTCTTCTTTTTACTTGGATTGATCCCAGTGGCTCACACTCTAATTAATCCGAACTGGTACTTCCTTCAAAAGCCTGACTCAAATGCAAATAGGTCAAATCGTGAGCCAAAACATATCAAATCCCCAAGATTAGTCTCGAGGAGTTCTCATATCCCAGGATTTATTTCTAAGCACTGTAACTTAATAAGGAAGTCCATAAATCTTTAGCATCTCTACCCTGTGCTAATACCATTTGTTAAATCCATGTAGGCAGGACATGCTCACCATGTCACCCCAGAGCCTAAGGGAATGTTGGACACACCAAGTACTCTGCAAACATCTATCAAGGGGCAAATTAAGGGACACTGTGTCCAGATTGCTCATTCTGCAAATAGGATACGTTAAGTGAGTGACCTGCCTAAGGCTAAGACATTAATTTTTATTTCCAGGGCAATGTTTTCCCTGTTAACTCAAAGGTTCTTTCCTGCTCCATATTCTTTTATCGTGGCTAATCCAATAAAGGAGCTGAAAATATTTAACAAACAGAAGATACTTTGTTGCTGTTTTACTTTCAACTCCTCTGCAGGGCACCCTAGGGAACTTTCTGTACCCCTTTTCTGTATGTCCTCATTCCAGTAAATTCTACATAGTTGAATAAATAACCTACTAGGTGAGGGGTAGACAATTCCTGTAAGGAAGAAACGATAGTCTATCAGAAAAATACAATGGTGGGATGAGTGAGACAAAGAAGAGTTCCAGGAACAGGAAGAAAGGAAGCACAAGTCAGGCTATGGTGTCCCTAGCAAAGGCAGGGAGATCTCTGAGTCCGAGGACAAGCTGGTCTACAGAGTAAGTTCCAGGTCAGCCAGGACTACACAGTGAAACTCTGTCTCGACACCCTCCCCCCCCACCAAAAAAAAAAAAAAAAAGGAAAAAGAAAGGAATCACAGAAGCGACTCATAAGGTAAGATTCTTAAGTGTGAATAAGTTCCCCAGGGTCAAGGAAGCGCCCCTGTGAAGAGGCCTCGCGCCCACCCAATCCACAATTTAGCAGTGACAAGCTGCCCCTTCTATATGGCGGGGAAGTGCCAATGTCCACTAACACCACAAATGGTACTTCGACTATCGCAAAAGAGAGCTGCAAACAAAATGAAAAGGAAGAGAAGTAGATCAGAGCACCTCCTACGCCACATTAAAGGCCAAGCACTGTGATGCAAAGGCTTATGGAAAGTCAGGGACGGCTTTACACCTCCCTTAACGGGGGCCCACTTGGCTTCCTCGCTAGACTCCAGAAAGAAGGTGAAGCCGGGTTTCGAGGGGCATGTCTTCAATGCTGTACCTTGGGAGGCAGAGGCTGGCGGATCTCTGTGAGTTCGAGGCTAGCCTGGGCTACAGCGTGAGTTCCAAACTCAGAGAGAGAGAGAGAGAGAGAGAGAGAGAGAGAGAGAGAGAGAGAGAGAGAGGGAGAGAGAGGGGGAGAGGGAGGGGGGGTGGGTGGGGGGGAGGGAAAGGAACAAGGGGAAGGGGGGGGCGGATCTCTGTGAGTTCCAGGCCAGCCTGGGCTACAGCGTGAGTTCCAAACTATGTGTGTGTGGGGGGGGGGAGATAGTAAAAAGAAAAAAAGGAACTCAGCTAAACTACCTCGAAGACCTGCGCCATGGCAAACGCCATGACCCACTCAACCTGAGTTATGTGCTACCGCTGGCGACGACGGCCCGGCAGCCCTCGCCTCCTCCCTGCTCTCCACCCCGCCCGCAGCCTCTCACCGCTGCAAGTTCTCGATCTCGGCGGGGATGCTCTGCAGCTGGTTGCCGCCCAGGCTGAGGGTCTGCAGCCTGCTCAGCTCCAGCAGCGAGGCGGGCACCTCCTGGAAGCAGTTGCCGCTGAGGTTGAGCACCTGGAGGCTGCGACAGAGCGGCG